TTTTTTTCCGTTTCTTCCATCTAAAAACAGCTTTTTATTCTGGTAAAAAGTTGGCAGCACTGCTCCCAACCTCTCTTCAACAGATAGCTATGTGTATCGGATATGTGTGCATGCGTATGTGTGTGTGTCAGTATTGAACATGTGGGGGAGCAGCAAGTACGACGAAAACACGACACGTATGTTTCGTCAATGGCGGGAGAGAAAGAATGAACGAGAGAGAGCAAGAGCGCGTGGTCGCAGCTCTTGCTCCATAGAATGGTTCAGCTTCTGCTGCTGCTGCGCTGCTACTGCGTCGTCATAATTGCTTGCCACGCTGTAACCGCCTCTGCCCCTGTGTCACACACACACACACACACACACACACACACACACACGCAGGCTTTATGTGCGTGCCAAAATGGTCTGCTGCAGTCTGCGCATGTCTCACTTCACCATGTGGACGTGTGTGCGTGTATGTGTTTCAGCTGACTGCTAACAGCTGATCATAACAGAAAACAAACGTCTCCCATGCTGCACTTGGGTCGAGTGCAGCTGCACTTAAAACTGGTTTCTTCTTTGTCTAGATGCGTCTTTTGCTTGGCTATGCGTCAGCCGCACTTGCAGCGGCTTCAATTGCAGCAAACTTTAAGCGGATACGATATTGCACGTGCTAGTCTGAGAAATTCTCGATTTTAATATGAACACAATTACATATTCGTAACTAATTCATATTCATATACACTCTTCGTAGGTCGAAGTGATGAATCTAGCCTCGTAAATGCATAGCAATTTCACTGAAATATTGATATTGCCCTGTCTGACATTTCATAGCGATCTTTGAACTGCCTAATGCCCGTTAGGTTGACAGAAAACAAAGCACGTCTCGATCGACATGAATAAAAATCCAAAACAAAAACAATTCTGATTTGCGGCGGAGTAATCGCATGAGCAATTCGTCTGAGTACACTCGCACTCATTTATAACGATCACAAAGCAACACATATGTACATAAATACATATGTATGTATATCATTCTAACTCTCGGATTCAGCGGCCAAAGTTCGGAGTGAGCAAGCATGTAACACACTCATACATAAGCAATAACAATGCGTATGTACCTACATACATACATATGTCCTTGCATACTCACAACACACTCACGCTCACGCTTATAAAATCGGTTGAATGTAAATGAAACCGCCGCTCAGCTCTAATTCTTATCAATTAAAATTTGCTCTAGCTGTTGCGCGACATCCCTTCCTTCAGCCGAAAGAGAGGCTTATCGTAACCTTACGTAATATAGCCCATTACCTTGCATTTCTTTGCATATGGCAAAATTCCAATATTCTAACTGCATACAAATATTCCGTTATTCCGTTTGTGAGTGGCTTAAAAGCCAAATGAGTATCGTAGTACTTCCGATTGGAAATTTTCCGCAATTGAATTCAGAGGGAGGGCCAGCAGAGAGAGTGACTTCAGGCCTGGGTGTTTTCAGAAACTGAAATACGATATCAGTATATGTACATATATCATGCGACTTTCCCTTGAAAACAATATGCATATCTCGATATTCGATGCGTGGCAGAGTCGGATTGAATTGGATAACGGCATCAAAGCATCGCGAGTGCAAAACATTTGGCGGTTAAGTGGGTTAAATGAATTGAACCTTAATAGTTTCAGCAGCAGCCGCAGCAGCTTCAGCGGATCAAGCCAAATAGCTTTGAGTGCACGGCATTTGGTCCATGCGGCAATAAAGCCCAATTGGTTGCATTGCCACTCGCCGGTGCAACCAGGTGTTTTTCCTTCTTTGCGGCACTTGGGCGTGAGCTGGAGACGCCCACCATAATGGCAGCAATTAATAAAAAAAATATTGCTAAGTTTTTTTAACAAGCCTCAATGTACTTGGTATCCAATATCTGGAATTGACTAATTAGTATTAAGTTGTTTTTTCACGCCTTAAAACTTATTCGGTTGCATATGAGTTATTGAAGTTAAATAATCCGAAACCGAATCTGCAACTGAAACTGAACGAGAGCTCTCAAATAGCATCTCATTATATACAACAAAGAACGATGAGTTGATAGCATGTCTACCCATGTTATCCAGAGCTGATAAATGTGAATTGAGACTACATATAAACAATGAATGCGTATTGAGAGTCAATAAAAGAGAAATGGGGAATATTATATATATCAAAACCTGTAGTTTGTAGCCATAAACACATAAACACGTGCGTACATATATAATACCAATTATTCCGAAAGTTACAGTTAATTGGAGCAAAGATGAACGTGATGATAATGGAAATGTATATAAAATATACACTTATACTATAGATATATAAAGTATTATTCACAAATGAGGATTATTAGAAACAATATTATAAAATGTCAGTATTTATTAAAATAGTTCTGAATATTACATACACATAACTTGGGTTAATCCGTTCGAAAATCAACGCAATGAAAAACTCTTAGATACGTTCAAGCTTTCAATGCATTCAAATGGCCAAAGCTTTTTTCTGAAAGCTTTCGGCCATTACATTTTGCCTATATCGCCATCGTTTTCTGTCACTTGACTTAATTCAGCGTATCGCGCGCCTTTATGAGTTGTATGTGTGAAAGAGACAGCACTATGGGATACCCACTTCAAAGTGCTGCCCATAAGGCGGGCAATTCAAAATCCGAGTTTACTATCTGATGCGCAAAAGTTCAGCTTTACATTAAGGAATTAGTAGATTTTATTTTTACAATTAGAAACTAGAAATAAATTATAAATCAGTATTATAAATCATCGGCAAAAGTGTTATTCTACAATCTATTCTCCTTCTCCCCATCGTCCCCATCGTCTCCATCGACTCCATCGTCGTCTTGGCTCAAGTGTTGCTTTGACTTTCTGCTGCCCTGCTGGAAGATCCACGTGATCTGCATCTCTCAGGAGGCGGTTCGTATTTTGTTGCTGTCTCGCTCTTGGTCGCTGTCGCAGTCGCCACTCTCGGCTGTGTCCTCGTCGCAGCTGGCACCTTCGTTGGCATTGCCCCGGGCAAATAGGTGGAAGAGGCAGCTACGTTTCACGTATAAAAAAGCGCACAGAGCGCAGAGTAGAAATATAATGCCCACCGAGCTGCCAATTATGAGAGCCCGCACCTTGCGCTGCGACGGCACTTCGAGAAACAGCTCGGGACTCGGGACTTCTTGGTTCTCAGCCCCAACCGCGAGCACTTGAATCTTGAAGGAGACGTCTTCCTTTAGATACCGCAGCTGATAGAAGTTGTCGAAGGTCTCAGCGGTGCCGATGAGGAAATGTTCCGGTTCCTTCCACCAGCGCACGGAATAGTGGCGCAGCGTTTCAAGCCCCACTGTCGGATGCTCCCAGTGCAGCAGCCAACCCTGAGGGGTGCTCAGCACACTCAGGTTCCAGGGTGCACCCAATCCCCCAATGGTGGATTGGCGACTCTGTTGGTGCTGCAGTTGCTGCGCATCTAACTCTGATCCATGCGGCGATGCTGGAGCAAAATAATATTTTTCGAGTTGAATTTATACGTAAGTCATATAGTAGCATATAGCATCCTGTCACACTTGCAAAGCGTTCCACTCTTTTTGGCCGTGGGTGAGTTTGTCGAGCGCTGCCCATAAGGCGAGCAAGTCAAAGTTAATGTGCAGTAAGAATTACTTATTCTCTTTTTCTCCCTTACTTCTGGCCCCCATCTCCAATAAATTCTACCCCAAAAAAATAAATTTACTGAGATAAATTTGACTTACGTTGCGTTTGGAAACGGAACGGTTTACTAAACATGCCATCGCCATATTTGTCCTGGCTAAGTACCATGAATTCGTATTCTCGTCCAGGGAGCAGGTGCTGCACGGTGGCCTCCATCTGGGTCTTTTCGAGGACGCGCAGCGTGCGCCATTCCGGCGCATCGCTGAGGCGATACCAGACGGTGTACTCAAGATTGGGTCGCAGATACCCTATAATGAAGTGGGAAAAGTGTAGAGTATGCAGGGCATGTGGAGCTATTGCTCGGGCAGCTGCTCGAGCTAATGCTGCTCACCTGGCTGCCAGCGTATGGTAATGCAGGTCTCCGTGCTGTTCGCCGTCAGGTTGTAGGGTGGGCGTGGCGCCGTGTTCTCTATCATTAATTCGGCCTCGGCAGTTATTGTAGCAGCTTCATTGGTCGCCGAGCACTCATATATGCCCCGGTCCGTCTCGACCAGGTTCGTGATGGTCAAATTGCCGCCGCTAAAGCTGTGCCGCTCCACTGGCAGCGCCTGGCCATCTTTCTGTGTGTGTGTGTGTGTGTGTATGTGTGTGTGCGTGTTAAATTAGTTAAAATCAGAAAATGAATGCGACTGCGAATGCGAAACGCTGAATTGGTCCACACTCCACAATGTGTGCGTGGAGCATGCATATTTCAAAATGCAATCAAGCAGAACTGCAGCAAGGCCGGCCAGGTGGTTGAGCAGAAAGGGGACGGACAGGCAGGGGGATGGAGAGTCCGACGCGGACTCGAACTTACCCGACTCCACACAATGGTGGGGCGATTGTTTCCGTCCCGGTCGATGGCTTCGCAGGGCAGCTCGGCCGTCTCGCCCAGCTTCTGTATGTAAATCGCCTTCGGTGTCACGCTGAATATGGGTGGGCGCAGCACAATTACGCTAATGATGGGCGAGGGCCCGTCTGTGCCGAGGTCGTTGTAGGGCGTGCAGGTGTAGCTGCCAGCATAGTTCTCGTTCACCTTGGAGAAGAACAGGCTGCCGTTCATCTTGTAGAACACCCCGGGCACGTTGTACGAGTCGAATAGCAGGCCGTCCTTTTCCCAGCGTAGGTTCTTCAGCGGCGGATTCGCACGGAAGTGGCAGTCGAGCACGGCCGGCTGGCCG